ATGTTGGTGGATGTCTCTGCCCGATGACAGTATGACTGTGCGTTGTAGTTGGGGGAAGACGGTAACAGGCCAACCATCAGTCAGACAGACTTCTCTTCTCTTCTTTTATGCCTGTCTTGCTGAGAATGTCCAACTGTGAGAGGCGGGACAACGTGCAGTGAGTGTGCAGGCACTTCAACGTTGGTTGGGAAGTCAGACTACCGTCTTCCCTGGAACATAACGCATCGTGATAATGAATGTATATACATATTATACAAGCTATCTTTCCCCTTCGGAACAACCATGAGGAGGTGCCTTTTGTTTGGGAGAACATAGTAGTGTTTGCACGCCAGCGACTGAAACCAGCCAGGATGCTGAACGCTTTTTGAGCCGGACCACCACTGTAGACTGGCATAGATGGCTGTTGTGGTGGTGAGAGGGTGATTGGGACACAGACTGATCCGTGCTGATGAGCTACAGGGTAGGCGCACTACAGGACGATGGCGTTTTTGCCGATGGTCACCTGGACAGGGATCAGGGGCAGCTCCACAGTGGAGCTACTTCTACTTGGCCTTGCCCCGAGGGCGATTGAGGCTAAGGGCCAAAGTTTGAGAATGAGTTACGGAGTAGGTGCTACCGGTCGGTCCAGAGGATATACCTCGTAGTTCAACATCACCGTTTGGTGTGGGGTATTTAGATGTTATACGTAGTCATTGACAGCTGTCCGGTGAACCGCAGCCAGAAAGGGAGAAAAAAGGACAAGAAAAGGGGGCCTGCAACAACTGTTTCGTCGGAGTTTCACATACCCATGAGGAGGCTAGCCCTCATGCTGTGTATATAATGTTGAAGCGGGCGAGTGGCTTAATCCCCCATCCCACATCTCTGCCTGCATTGTACACGGACCTGACCATTACATGGCTATTGTACATGCCACTGACCACTGGGAGCTGTGGGACAAAAGCATCATGGTCCATGCCATGACTGATGTTACTGATTCCTTACACAGTGATGCTGTTTTCTTGCCCACCAAACTGTCCGGAATCTCTCTTGTGTCGAAGGTCATTCCTCTGGGCCCGTGCTGCAGCAGGATAATGTACAAACACTCTGCGACCTTCTCCTTTGCACAACTACAGACACTGTTGCACTCGGCTGTGGCCACCATCGTCTATGTCACAATCACTACAGTGACATATGGTTTCTGCATTTGTGTGTGTAGAGGACTGTCCCTCCATTTCTGACCGCAGGCACCCTCCGCATCCGACACTATATGTCCATTTTGCGGTCTTGGGGGTTATACTGAATGCATGGTCTTTTGCGGTGCCCGTTGTTCCTTCATGTTGGCCTGCAATCGACATGCCATTTGTCGGGAGTGTTTGATGGGCATGCTCGTTGCTAGCCATCGTGGCAATCGTTGAACTGAGAATGCTTAGCTAGGTCTTCCATGTCTTCATCCACCTCATCCTTACAATGTATGGCCTCGCTGTCGTCAAGGACGGAGACTGATTGTCGAGCCTTTTCTTATCTTTTACTACGCTTTCATCTTCATTCCACACTCTTTACTTCCCCTTACTTTCCCTTTGTCTTCCTTCGCTTTGTCTTCACTCTATCTCTTTCCTTTGTTTATCCCCCCTCCCCCTTTGCCTCTTTCTCACAGCGTACAATTGGGCCGTTATGGCACACAGGGATGCGGGCAGCCTGCACTCAACTCGATCAACGTGGCAAGCCTTGTACGTGACAGGCATAGTAAAGTGGAAGTTGAAAAGAAGAATGATAAAAAATAATGATTTCAGTGTGCTCTTCATGTTTCTCTTGTGTATGTTTATCGTTCGCAAGGTGCGCTCCTTTAGTTCATAGATATGTGACAATATATATATACGTGTAGGACGATGTATAGGACACTGCGATTTATGTCTCTATGGCGGGGGKTTAGATGTTATATATATCACAGAGCAGTTTTCTATGATGATATATATGTATATATACATATATGATGAGTTGGTGAAACCCTGACGAAACAGTCTGCCACAGCCCCTCATGTGCTACCTCTTCTCCCTCTCTGCCTACGGCTTACCGGCAGTTCTCTTTGAAATATTGTCAGACAGAACCGCTAAACCGTAGGCAGAGAGGGTGAGGCGGACAACAAACAAGGGGCTGTGACAGACTGTTTCGTTTAGTCTATTAGAGCTGTACCTATGTCTAGGTTCAGGAATCCAAAGCATTCGGAAACACATTTTGTGTTGTCCATCTCATTCTGGAATCTGGATGTCAGATTTCCGATCAGAAGCATAAACGCCGTTTCATTCTGGATGCCAGATTTCCAACCAAAAGCGTAATCGTAGTTCAGTGGTGCCTGCACCTCAGGGAGAGGCCACACTAGTGCTATGTTTGTCGTGCCTGGAAAGCGTGAACATGATGGTAAAAGCAGTCAGGTTCATGCTTCCACAGCATGTACAGAACACCAGCAGATTTTCAACCAAACGCATAATCATAGCGGCTCAGGGAGAGGCCACACTGGTGCTATGTTTGCTGTGCCTGGAAAGCATGAACATGATGGTAAAAGCAGCCAGGTTCATGCTTCCACAGCATGAACAGAACACCATCAGGACCACCCCCTTAGTTGGCATTAGCACATGTTGCTGGCTTGGCCGTCTTTCTGCAGTCAGAGCCAGTCTCATGAGTCCCCAGCCTGTATGCATTTGGGACTGTGTTGAAGGGTACTTGCATTGGCGAGGGGGAGAGAGGGGGAGTAGCAAGAGGTGGGGTGTGAATTAGCGTCCCGAGGGCAAAGCAACTCAGCCGACACTGCATCAATTCTGGAGGTGTTACTCTTCTTTGGACGGGACTGGAGCAATCGTGTGCGCCTTCGATTTCTTGGCGATGACTAATTGCTGCTTGCATGTGTTTGAATTCCGCTATTCGCTTGTCAGGAAGTGCACATTTGCCAGGGTTGGACAGCATGGGGAGGATCTCGGGCACTCCATACCCTCCGGGACCACTGCCCCCTGCGAGTGTGTCAGGTGGACCATCTAGTGCATATAGCAGCAGCAGCATCGGCACAGCTTCCTCGCATAGGCATGGCGTCTTAAGTGGCGCAGGTTCTGAACTTCCTTCCACGTACAGGGCCGTGGGTGGGTATGGGGGTCAAGCAGGAGCAGGGCCTGGTTATGGAGGGAGAACGGCCCGTATGGTGGCTTCAAGTGCAATGTCGCCCCATGTTGCTGCTGCGGAAGATAATGGCAGTGGCGGGAATCTCTCTCAATATGGACAATCTAGATTTCCACCACAGGGGCAGGCTGGAGGAGGACATGCAGCCTTCCCGACTCCTAGTTTTCCTTCTCCATCAATCGCTCCTGGTAATCAGGTAGCAGGAGCTGCTTCTGTAGCAGCCACAGGGGTGGGGAAGAGGGCAAACCCTGAAAAGCTGCGGGAAATCGAAGAGCTCAAGCAGGAGTTGACAAGGGCATCGGAGATGACGGAAATTCTGCGACGGCAGGGGAGGCACTTGGACTCCATGCAGCATAGTAGATATGTTAAGGAACTGCAGACAAATATCCAGGCCCTCGAGTCGAATCTTTATGAAGATTCTGCGGATAGTGAAGAAAGCACAGGTCATGGGGGGGGAAATGTTTTGGGTGGTAGTTCGATGCCTGCCCCTGATTTTGGAAGTATATGGAGCGGTCCTGCCACCTCCACTGGCTTTGGACGTGTGGACAGTGCTTTTGCTCATCAAGCTCCGGGGTTGGGACGCATGGAAAGCTCTGCATCAGCGCCTTTTGCTTCGTTTGCAAGTATGGGGAGTGCCACTCCTGGATTGACACCGCCGGTGGGTGGTGCTACCATGCCCGCTGATAAATTTGGGGGTACCCTGGGTATAGATGGAGGTGGTGTACCTTTTGCATCCAGTCTTGGGCCGCTGCGCACTGCAAGCAGTGCTTCTGCGACAGGGTCGGAATGGGTACCCACAACAGATGGCATTGTTGCTTCAGGACCTACAGCAGCAGCTGCATTTGGACGTTCGGATAGTACTCCGGCAGCGGCCATTCCAGGAGTCGAACGTGTATCGAGCATGGTGGCCACACCTTCAGTTGGTTTTGGACATGTGGATAGTGGTGTCGGTGTCACTTCTGCAGCCATTGCTGGCTTGAATCGTGTTGCGAGTGGTGCCCCTGTTACAGATGCTGGATGGGAACGCCCATCCAGTACTGTTGCCAACACTCCGGCTAGATCAGAGCAGCCAGGCATTTCTTCATCAGGAGCCGTTCATGGACTGGACCGTATCTCCAGTGCCCCGTTTATGACCTGGAACATGCCACTGGGTGGAAGCAACGACCAGCAAGAGGGTTTGCGGATAGGTGATGATGGGATGGGAAGCATGGGTTCTTCCACAGCCATGGTTGCAGTTGGGCGACCAGATACTGCTGCTTCCTCAATGGTCAGCTCTGCATTGCAACGCATATCAAGTGTTTCTTCTACCCCCTGGATCATGCAGCCGGAGAAAGGCGATGACCGTGATGGTAGTTTGATGGGTTACGGCCAAAAGGGGAGGCATGACGTGGAGGTCCCGGGCGCAAGTGGTACCCATGGAACGGCAACAGCATGGGAACATATGATTGGGAGCGCAGAATTAGGAGGCAACGACAGCACCATGGCCAGCGTGGCTGCAACTGGACTCACGGGTACTGCAGGTGTGAAAATTAGCATGAGCACAAAGCTGGAGATTAGTGGGGATAAAGAAGGGAGCTTGGTGGATTATGGTGGCCAGGGAAGAAGTGGTGACAGCGGTTTGGGTCCAGATCCCGACAAGGTTAAGGCCGCTGCCGGAATGGCTGATCCTGACCTTGCAGACCTGCTAGAATGGGGAGCAGCTCCAACAGACACGGGAAGTTCATCTGCACGAGAAGCTACGGTGGCTGGCACATCGGAGAATGTAGGGTTAACAGAGGGATCTGGGAAGAGGGATGGGTGGGGGCCAAAGTTCGAAGATGAAGGGAGCGACTTGGCGCAGTCACGAGGAAAGCAAATGGCATCTGCTTCCACCAGCACAAGTGTGGCACCGATGGGCGTTCCGGAGGGCAACTCAGTGTCACAGTCATCAGTGGTTGGTGCATCTGAGTTGCCTGCTGTTCCTCTGAGCTCACTGGGGCCAGTCACATTGGAAACACCGGTGTCCAGCAAAGTAGAAGCTGCCGGAGGGGCTGCCCCAGGAGAAGAAGCAGGAGGTGGTGGTGGGATGGGGGCCGGAGCAGGTGTAAGTGAGGGAACCACGAGAGGGCCAGATGGACCGAAGTCTACGCTGAATGGCAAGTTGGCAAAACTAGAAGAAGAAAGGCAGGCTTGTAGGAAGAGAGCGGCAGCATTCAGGAAGGAAGGGAACATGGCACAGTGGAGAGAGGAGCAAAAGAAAGCCAGGGAATTGGAAAAGAAGATAGAAGATATGGAGATATTGGGCGGTGATGACGAGGAGGAGGACGAGGAGGATGATCTGGAGGTATTGTTGGGGTTGAAGAAGCCCAAGCGCAGTAAGAAAGTGGGGAATGCTGCTGCCAATCCGATGAGGGCAAAGATGGTTGAGGAAGTGCAGGCGCTAAAGAAGACAGCTCTGACACTGAAGAGGGAAGGCAAGCTAGCCGAGGCAAAGGGCAGTCTCCGTGATGCCAAGGTGAAAGAGAAAGAGATTGAGGAGAAGGATCTTGTAGGGGGATGGGACTCTGGTGGGGAATCAGAGGATGAAGCGGCACAGCTGGAGGTGTTGCTTGGCATGAGGCCTCCGAAAGGTGGCCGGTCACAGCAAGATTATGCTTCGTCGCTCAACATTGGCTCTTCCGACATGGAATCGTTTGGAGACCTCGGGCTCGAGGCACCAGGTGGGAAACTCGATCTGTCTGCTCTAGGTCTTGGGGATCTAGGTGCTCTCGATGTTGGCGCGGTCAGTGTTGATGATTCAGATCTACACGACCCCCAGATAGCAGCAATGCTGAAGGAGGTAGGGTGGCAAGAAGATTCATCTGGTCTCTCCGGCCTCGCGGAGCTCACTGGTCCATCTCTGCAGGTGGAACGTTATGACAAAGGCACCTTGCTCAGGGAAGCCCTGGGGTGCAAGCGGCGGGCACAGACCCTGAGGAGGCAAGGGAAAATGCTAGAAGCAGATGAGGAACTTGAGAGAGCGAGCGCGATGGAAGCCCGCATCAAGGCTTTGGAAAGCAGATCAGCTGGGTATAAAGCCACCTCATTGGGGAGACAACCCTCTGCAACGGCAGGGACTGGCATTCCACCAGATCACTACTCACCTTTCCGAGAGGACGTCTTGTCTGTGAGTCAGGAAGTCACAGAAGAGGATGAGCAGAACCCTGAGTACTTAGAGGCCCTGAGTGAAATGGGGTGGGAGGCTGACGATCATCTAAGTGCCCCATCGAGGAACAAACCTTTTGTCCATGGTCAGATGGGAAGGATGGCTGTGGGACAGAGTCCTGATAGCAGCAACCTTGCAACGGATCTGGTCACCATGAAACAGGAGGTGCTCAGCCATAAGCAGAGATCTCTAGCATTGAAAAGGGAGGGAAAGATTGCCGAAGCGAAGGCGGCCTTGAAGGAAGCCAAGACTCTGGAGAAAAGAATTGTGCAGCTGGAGGCGTCTGGGCTGGCAGGGGTCAACCGACCGACACCGTCCTCTGAGCATGTTCCACGGCCAGCTTCTGTTGGTCCACTGGAGGGTGGTGATTTCAGCATGTGGGGGGGCCATGGAGGGGACCCTGAGGTAACAGAAAAAGATGAGCACGACCCGGAGGTGATAGCAATGCTGCAGTCAGTTGGGTGGTCTTTTGAGGAAGAGAAAAGCGCGACGAGGAAGCCTCCTGGACAGCCAAAGGTGAAAGCAGATGCCAGAGGACCACAATCAAGCGGCGTCGTTGAAGATGTTCGCATACTTAAACAGGAAGCACTTGATCACAAGAGGAGGGCGGTGGATCTGAAAAGGGCGGGGAAGCTTGCCGAGGCCAGACAGGAATTGAAAGTGGCCAAGGACATAGAGAACAGAATTCAACAGCTTGAGGCCGTGAACCTGGCTTCTAACCTAGCAGGTGGCATGCAGACACTGCCCTCTCTAAATGCTGGTGGTGATGTCAGCATGTTGGGCGACCACGCTATGGACCCAAATGTGACAGAAGAGGATGAGAATGACCCAGAGATGAGAGCAATGCTGGAATCGGTGGGGTGGTCTTTTGCAGAGGAGAAAAAGGCAAAGAGGCAAGCTGAAGGGCCAAAGGTGCATGAAAGCGGCAGAGGACCACAAACCACTGGCATTATTGGTGATGTGTCCATCTTGAAGCAGGAAGCACTTGATCACAAGAGAAGGGCTGTGGCTCTGAAAAAGGAGGGGAAGTTGCCGCAGGCCAAAGAGGAACTAAAGCTGGCGAAGGCCATAGAGAAGAGGATTGAAGAACTCGAGGCTGCAAACCTAGAAGTCCCGACATCAGTGCCACCAGTTTCAGCTGCTGTTCCTCATGCAGCCAAGCTTGTCTCACAAGGTGGAGACAAAAAAGAAGGTATCGAAGACTGCGGACGACGTCATAGTGATAGCAGTACTTGTGATGTGCCGGCCATGAGGCAGGAAGCACTTCACCGCAAGAGAAAATCTATGGCTCTGAGAAGGGAGGGGAAGCTTGCAGAGGCCGAAGAGGAAGTCAGGCTAGCCAAGCTGATAGAGAAGAGGATTGAGGAGCTTGAATCTTCAGACATGGCAACAGCTCCATCGCAACAGACACCTGTTTTGGGCGTTTCTCAGGCCGCAGAACTTGGTCCTCGGCGTGGTAGTGGCCATGGTGATGGTGCAGGTGTCGCAAAAGAAGATACACGAGGTCCAGAAGTCGTGGAAGTGCCGAAATCAGGGCTGAGGACCATCAAAATCGAAGAAACAGCGAGCAAGGAAGTAATCGACGAGCGAAAAATTCAGAGCATACAGGCTGATGTGGTCAGACTAGGCGAAGAAGCTGTTGCCCACAAGAGAAGGGCAGTGGCTTTCAAAAGGGAGGGGAATCTCGCACAGGCCAGGGAAGAATTAAGGGCCGCTAAGTTGCTGGAGAAGAAAGTTGAAGAATTGAAAGCACTGATTGCGGCAGATCACCAGTCGATGCCATTATTAGGTGGAACTCCGGCTGCGGCTGTTAGTGCTCCTGAGAGCAAAGATGGTGTGGTTATGGTTGCCCAGGGCCCGGAACACAGTACCGGAAAGAAAGATAGTGGAGGTGTTCTTCGACCCGACACCCTCTGTCAACATCAGATTGGGCTGGACGTGAAGGAAGACGGTAAGAATGAGGCAGATGAGGTCCAGACATTGAGCGTCAATATTTGTGCCTTGGAGCAAGAAATGATAAAGCATATGGACAGGGCAGTTGCCTCGCGAAAGGATGGGTTAATTGCAGAGGCGAAGGAGGAATTGAAGGCAGCCGAAATGATTGACCAAAGAATCAAAGCCATGAGGGCGATGAAGCCAGAGGCTGTGACTCAGATGCTGCCATCTTCAGGCCTCGGGGCTCTGTCAATGTCGCCTGAGTTAGAGAGGGGTGACTGTAAGGTCAGGGCTGATCAGCAGCAGGATTCGGGCGTGCCAGACCAGGAAGAGAGGAGCACAGAAAAATTGCCACAGCTGAGTGCGGCAGGCAGGTACGATGAAGCAGATGAAACTCAAAAAATGCAAATGACTGGGAATAAGGAAGTGGCGGAGGACGTGGCACAGGGAGGTCAGGTCGTACCCAGCAAAACAGAAAGAATGGAACTGTGGGAAAAGGCCTTGGCTCACAAGAGGCATGCGTTAGCTCTGAGGAAAGAGCAACGATTAGAAGAAGCGGAGGAAGAGATGCGGAAGGCTGATCTATTCATGATGAGGGTGAAGCAGCTGGAACTTGCATGCAAAACGGAGGCCGATGACCAGGGCGTGAAGGTCAAGGACGCCACAGTGGTGAAGGTGGCTGAAGAGGAGCCAGCTTCTGCAGGTCTTTGTGTTGTGCCACACGCTCCCTCACATTGTAAGTATCTGCAGCCTTTGCATCTCATATACATATATCCATCCTTCTTAAAAGTGTCAGTAGTTCCCAGTATGGCCGACCCTAAATTGCCAAACCTAATATTTTTTTCCGCCCAAATGGATCGAACCGGTCCCTACCAGGTTGGTACATAGAAAGTGTGACCCCCTTGTATACGGCCTAAACTTTCAGAGGAGGGGTTTCCTACTGGTGGTTTAAGACTGTGTGCCCATATTGACTCTTATGGGTATGCAGGCCACATGTTCTTGAACTTGCTGTAGGGCCTCTGGCAAACTCAGGGCTAGCAAGGAGTTTGTGTGCCATGTGACAGGTGGTTAGTAGCATATATGGCTGTGGCAGATTGTGCCCTGGAAGATGAACTCCAGGCAAAGTATGTAAGCTATGTCCGTCGAGGTGGTTGCACATGCCGATGTCGTGCAGGACGCAGTAGTGCACACTATTGACATTTGTGGCGTGGTACCGTGCAGGGTGCACATAGAGAATGCGCACTATTCACATCCTTTTGTTTGATACCGTGCAGGACGCAGTTAGTGAACATTATCCACATCCGCAGTGTGAAGAGCTCACCTGCGAACTGATGCCAAGCAAGCTGCAGCTGTGGCCAACCTGGTTGGCAGCCTGCATTCCTGTGCCATACAAAGTCCAAGTCTTCGACTACAGTCTTCCCCCGAACAAAACGCACGTGCGTTATGCTACGAATATAGGGTATCAACTTCCAAAAATCACGACCTCCCCCCTCCAAACAAAAAAAATATATATGTGCCTGGTACATGTACCTCCAGTCTTCCAGCCAATAGGACCTTCAGGTAAAACACAGAGAGAGAGAGAGAGAGAGAGAGAGAGAGAGAGAGAGAGAGAGAGAGAGAGAGAGAGAGAGAGAGAGAGAGAGAGAGGGAGGGCGGAATACTGCAGGGCACGCACCTGGAAACGAGCACGACACTGCAGGCAGGCAAGCGTGTATTCTATTTGAATAGAACACTTGTCTGTTCGAATAGAACAAACGTGCATACCATTGGAATAGAACATACGTGCGTACTCTTTGGATTTCAGGGGGCAACTTCGAGAAATCAACTTTTTCAGGGAAAGATGAATAGTACATACATGCGTTTTGTTTGGGCGAAGACTGTATTGATGGAGCTCTATGAACCAGCTGCATGACCGGCCAGGATGCCCTCAGACAATGTCCAACAAGTTGGTGTCTAGCCAATCCACATGAGCGGATACTCACATTAGGAGTTTTCAACTGAATCTATGTGGTTGATGATTTTGGTGCTGGTGGTCTCAACAATACCGCTCTTGCTGAATGCTATCACGTTGTATGAATGCTGGTGACTCACGGTGGTGATAAGCGAAAGACCATGGCTACGATCCAGACCACCGGACAGGGATCCGGACCTTCCGTGGTCGGGGGTCCGGGTCCGGATCTCAGTCCGGATGTGTGGGCCCCGCCCAAAGGGCAATTGTTTTTTGGGCGGTGCAGGGTGTTTGTTCACATCCTGGGACACCCAAAAAAAATGGTGCCTGATTTTTTACCACCCTCACCAACGATCCGGAAGGCATGGAAAGTCTACGAGGGGTTTTGTTATTTTTATTTTTATTTCTATTTTTATTTACCTGTCGGGGGCGGGGGATTTTGCAGCCGCTATTTTCGCCATCCTCCTCCTCCTCCTCACACACACACACACACAGTTCTCGTCATCCTTGTCGTCGTCCTCCTCCTCGTCAACCCCACTGTCCTTTTCTTTCTCCCTGTCCTCCTCCCCGTCGTTGTCTACTCTGCCATCCTTTCTCGTCGTCGCCATTCTCCTCCTCCTCCTTGATCGTGTCAACTCCGCCCTGTTTTCCTGTTGTTGTCATCATCGTTGCCGTCCTCCTCCTGCTCCTCGTGTTTACGCCGCCCTGCACTCCCGTCATCGTTGTCGTTGTCATCGTCCTCCTCCTCCTTGTCAACTGCGCCCTATTTTCCCATCCCCGTCGTCCTCGTCCTCATCAACTCTTCCCTCCTTTCTCTCTCCCTCTCCTCGTCAACTTCGGCCTCCTCTGTAGTTCTCCTCCTCCTCCTCGTCGTCAACTTCGGACTCCTCTGTCGCCGTCCTCCTCTCCTTGTCTTCCTCCTCCTCGTCTCCTCCCCCTCCTCTTCCTCCTCCGTTTGGGTTTATTTATTTTTTATTTGGTCCATTTCCCGATTAATGCATGTCATCTTGGTGCACGGGCCATGCTAATCTTGCCCTTTGGACATTCGTTAAAATTGGAAGGAGAAGATTAGCATGGCCCCTGCACATGGATGACACGCATAAATGAGAAACAGTCCCAAAAAAGGAAGAGGAGGAGGATGAGAAAGAAAATGAGTCCCGAGTTGAGAAGGACAAGCAGGAGGAGGGGGAGTAGGATGAGAACTTGAGCAGGACGAGATTGGAGGCGGTGTTCATGACAAGGAGTAGGAGTAGAGACCGTTTTTTTTTTTTTTTTCCCGTGCATCATAGGGGATCCGGACCGGACCAGATATTCCAGAATATTCCGGTTTTTCGGAAGTCCGGATGGGCCCGGGAGGTCGGGGGTCCGAGTTCCGGAATCGGTCCGGGGTCCGTTCCGGCGTAGCTATGCAAAAGACTCCCAGTGAAGCAGATGAGACAAGGTAGTAAATACATTCTTTCAGAACCTGACTCAAGCCAGGGTCTTGATCGAAGACATGGCATGATCATGCCATTTGCATGATGGGAGGCAGGAGGGAAACCGGCATAGAAGGGCCTGCTCCAATACCATTGCAAGGGGAATTGTGCCGAGAGGTTATGTAGGGAGGGGGGATACTTGAGACAAAAAATCGACACCGTAGCACTTCTTTAATGGAGAGAGAGAGAGAGAGAATACTCCCAATGTCATAGAAGCAATTCTGCAAAAAAAGAAGGTTGTTTGCCATGTTGGATCATAAAATCTAGAAGGAAAGTTGGGAAACAGATGTCACATATTTGCAAGAACAAGTCTTAGGGTCTCGTTAGACACTCCTAAAAGTGCCTGTTTTTAGGATTGCGTCTTGGTTGCATGCAATCCTAAATCCAATTTCGAGATCGAAAATGTGAAAACGGTGTTAGGACGAGTCCTAAAGGATTTAGGATTCCCCAGGCAAAATCGTCCTAAATTTTCCAGTAGCCCCCGACCTACTGAAAAATTTAGGATTCCCGTGTTTCACGGACTCGTTGCGTCGCGTGCATGGCACCGTCGACACGGAGTTGCTGGTGCAGAAGCGGTCCGTCGGGTCAGTGGTCGGACAGCGGAGGTTTTCTGCGGGTCGACGCGGGCAACGGCCACGAACGGTAGCCGTTGGCGGGAATTGGACGGACATTGGCAGGAATGGACGGACATTGGCGACGCGGCTGCGTATACGCATATTAAAACCGGCCGCGGGAGACCTTTTAGGACGAATCCTAAAAGATGATTTTTAGGATTGCGTGTAACGACGCCGCACAAAATCCTAAAAATCCTTTAGGACTCGTCCTAAAAATTTAAGGATTCTTTTAGGAGTGTCTAACGAGACCCTTAGGGGCGAAAAAAGCTGTGCAAGGGCCGGCCCAGAATCAGTCTGAGATTTCTGCTGTTTTCTGAGTATTGCTGCTTGACAAACTGATTTGGTGAGATTTCTGTGAACTGTGTGAGTTTGCTGTGTGCATGCATGTGTGTAAGTCCCATGTAAAGATTGCTATGCGGAGTACTAACCGTGTGCTTGTTCTGTCTTTTCTGCATCCTAGGAAGGCGCAGAGTAGAATAAGGAAACCAAAGGGGCAAGACGCGGACATGATTCTTGCTAAATCATTCTTTCGTTGTTGTATCATTGTATGTTAATTGATTAATTAATGAGAGGAGGAGGAGTACGGAATAAGAGGGATGAGGAAGGAGGAGGAGGGAGAATACATTTGTATAACTCGTGTAATTCTTCTTCTTCTTTGATTCTTTGCTATTCTACTCTTTGTGTCTCTCCATCTCTTCTTTTGGATTTCAGCAAGTCTTGCATTTCTCGCAATGTGAGTTTTGCACTATGTTTGAACTTTGAAGTAAGATCATAACAGCTGCGACAAAAGTAGGATCAGGTGCCCACATATGAAAAGGAACTGATTTGAGTTTTGTACTATGGATGTAGGATCATGACAGCTGCAACAAAAGTAGGAGAACCCTCGTATACATCAGGTGCCCACATATGAAAAGGAACTGTAATTATTTCTCTATCTCTATCTCTATCTCTATACATACTAAAGCAAGCAAAGGGTCTGGCGACATGGTCGGTCGCGGGCCCAACGGAAACCGCTTGGGACACCGCGGTCGGGAGGAGGTGTCAACCGTCGCGGCGGGCAGGGAAAAGCGAAGCGGGCAAGGGGCGGAGGGCCGAGCCGACGTGGGGGAACCGGCGCAGGGCCGAGGCCCGCGCAGAGACGGGTGGGGAAAGTAGCGGGCAGGGAAAAGCGAAGCGGGCAAGGGGCGGAGGGCCGAGCCGACGCGGGCGGGCAGCAAAAACCGAAGCGGGCGAGTGCGGGAGTGCGGTGCGGTGCGTGAGTGCGAGAGTGCGGTAGTGCGGTGCGGTGCGTGAGTGCAACTGCCGTTTTATTTTTTTTTTGCCCGCAGCGTTGGGCGCGGGGGCCAAACTAGCTTATCGGAGCGTTGCTTTG